TTGTTTGATTTTTCAACACCATTTATAATTTTCTTTTAATAAAATCAAGATTTGTGAAATGCTTAAATTTATTTATCTAATAATAATGCAGCACACAACCCTGAAATCTAAGAAAAAGTCTGAGGAAGGCCATTAAATAGCACCACACAACCCCGTGCCTTCCTCAGGAGTGAATACAACTACAACAACAATGACTACTAGACCAACAACCCAAAAGGGTTGGTTACTGTCTATACTGTGGTGAAAACACACTAAAAGTGAAGTGTTTCGGAGTGATTTAAAAGGAAAAGTGAATTGAATATCGAAGTGACGACTTTCAAGCACAATTAGGGGTGTGAGGTTTTTCGTTTAGGTTACTAATCACCCGATTGGTTAATCCATTATTTTTTTATCACAATAAAAGTAATCTTTAAATTTTATTAATTTGGGCCTGTGCCAATTGATAGAAAAGTTCTCTGGATAGTAAATTTTTGACAGCTATGAGGTGAATAAAAATGTTTGATACGGCAGGGCTAGTGAAAAATTTGACAGCAAGCATTATCAAGAAGAAGAACGAACAACGCACGTATACACATAAATTAAAGAAAACAAAAGCGAGTGGAAATAACAGAAAATGGTCCCGCCGGCAAAAAAAATAAAGAAAAGCTATATAACTTGTAAGATTTAATTTCAGATTTACATATGAAAAGGCGTTATGTATTTTTTTAATTAAAAATACTATTTTACAGGGAGCAGTTCAGAACGCAGAATCCTTCTGGAAAGGCGAATTGACAAGGATGTTTGGTTCAGCTCAAAGAACGCCAACAGCAACGAAGGCTGGAAGTGAGTAAGAACAATATAAATAATTTGAAGACTTTATTAAGAAGTTTTTTCTTAGAAAAATCGCGAATGAGCTGAAGGATCGCCTGGACGGTAAAAGTGCTGAAGCATGTAAAGCACAATGGAATGCGTTGATGAAAAAATATAAAAGCTTTTTCAAATACCGCTCGGGCGATGGAACAGGTGAAGAGGCGACTGCTGAAGAGGCGAAAGATTGGGAGTTTTTTGAGTGCATCCACTCATATGCTTCCAAGAAAGATAATTTTCACCCTCCATTTTTAATTGATAGCGGCGATGGTGAGGTGTCGATGCAGCCAAGGAGAGAGGAAAACGCCACATTTGTCTCGGCACTGCAGCCGGTTGAGTCCTTGACAAATTCGCAGTCGACGTCTAGCGAAGAGTCGAGACAGAGTCCACTGCCATCAACATCCCGGCGCTCTGCAGCACAAAATGGCGTTAAGCAACTAGAACGCCACATTTATAAAAGGGATAAAAAAATCAATAAAAAAATATCAACGCTTTTGGCTGTAATTGGGCAAATGGTGCAGGCGGACTATCCGCACATCGACGCATCAGCGCTGCTCTTGACCTCAGACTCGGATTCTGAGTAGTCCGTGCCATTAGGAAATATTTTTAACTGAATTTTTTTATTTTATCTTTTTTATGTAAATATTTTTTTGGTAGAAGTGTAGTATTTAATTTTTTGTTTTGTTTGTTGCTTGAATTCACTTTAATTTATTATTTTTATACAACATGTACCTCTAGGTATAAGAAAAACCAGTACAATAAGTAATGTGATGAATTTTTTTAGTTTAAGATATATTACTCTTTTTAAAAACTAGTAGGCTTAGTAACAAAATGGATCTCCATATATGATTTTCTTTTTATTGTGATGGTATTGAATACCACTTTATATTTTTAAGTAAATGTAAATAAGACTGATATGAAAAAACTAAAAAAAAATAAGTATTTTTGATATGCATATGTAAATAAAAACCTAAGAAACTCTTTAATTAAGTCTTGTTTTATTGATACTTAAATAGTTTGAAGGAATTCATTGAGAATTTCATTTCGTACTCTTAAACCATCTTCAGAGTCGGATATATTTCGCGCAGATTGGACCGATTCTATATTAATAGTTTCATTCTCAGTAGCCAGGGAAGATAGGTCAAAATCATCTGCAAGAATGCAAATGTTGTGCAATATAAATGCCGCAAATACGGTTTTTATACAGTTTTCAATTTTCAATTCCAAATCTCTATTAAATATGTTTCTCCATCTATTTTTTAAAATTCCAAAAGCTGCTTCAACAACTATTCTTCCTCTACTATGCGCAACGTTGAACCTGGCTTGATTTGATGTCAGAGGTTCTTTGAATGGGGTGATAACTGCCACCGGAAACGTTTGGCATGGGTATCCTTTATCACCGAATAAGAATTGGCCCCGGGGAGGATAGTCTCCCCTAGCATATAAGGGGCTATTCACAAACACTCGTGTATCGTGTACAGATCCTGGGTAGCCAATGAAAACATCTGTAAATTTATAATCGCTGTCCACAACCGCCTGCGCCTGGATAGAATAGAACCTTTTATGATTGATGTATTCATCGTGTTTGTTGACAGGACATTTTATGCGAATATGTGTGCCATCAATCGCTCCAACAAAATTACGAAACGCGTTTGATTTTGTTTTTTGGCAGAATTTATCAGCAACCCTTTCATTTTCTTCTGCAGTGCCATGCCGTATTAAACCACGCATTGCAATAATCTCTTTCAAGGTTTTGTGAATAACGTTTCGTGCAGTGAAACGGCTTATGCCTAAAAATCCAGCAACTACTCGATAGCTGCATCCACATGCCATCCAATACAAAAAGCAAATGACTTCGTACTCCACTGACCATCCGTGGCGCTTTTTGGGAATGTGAGTTACAATTTTTCGAAACGAAGCAGAGGACAACCTAAGATGCATTTTTGTAGTCTTGTTATCGCCGTTCATAATGCTGCTTAGTATTTTGGAATAAACGTCTTGTTGCATGTACATAATACCCTAAAACGACATATGTTTTTATTGCAAACAATTGTACACGGTTTAAACATTTTTGTGAACACACTTACCAGACGGTTTTGACGTGTTTTTATTTCTAATATTACTGCAAAAGGTCTAATAAATGCATGGATTTCAGTTCCAGAAGAATTGAAATCATCAAAGGCAAATATTTTCTATATAATTGCTGCATTTTATAAATTGCAAACTCGATAGTCTTCTTGTGCATCAAAGCAACTGTCAAAAATTTCCAGCAGTAAAAAGTTACGAATTGGCACAGCAGAAATGTAAAATTTTCTCACCATAGTAAAAAGTTTTTCCACCATAGAACTTTTCTATCAATTGGCACAGGCCCTTTATAATATATTGTGCTCCTGCGCAAATTTAATGCTGCAATAGATTTATAATCACAATGTCTCAAACGTAGAGGAAAGAAAATCAAAAATTACATTTCACTGATGATATTAACACTAAAATATAATTAATCGATTTCCGATTCACAACAAAAAGTCGTACCCAGATACACAGTAACAACGTCATCACGAGATGCACCTTAATGTTTTGCTGTAAAATTGAAGATGTATGAAAACTAAAATATAATTGTTGTATTCGTCAAATATTTACTAAATAATTATGAAACATTATCCACGCATTCATTTCTGTGCGATCTACAACTATACATGTGAAAATGAAATCCGAAGTGACTTCTTTCAAATAACCGTAGCAGCTGTTTGGGAATAGTTACTTTGCCATACTTACTACTTAATGCAGCGTTTTTGCTGCATTTAAAATGCAACATTTAGCACTTTCGAACATATGTTTTCGAAGAGCGTTCATGCTATCGCATTTAGCAAATGTACATTTACGCGAGTTCGAAATCGTATGCTTTTGACAAACAGCCGTGTTCCAGTCGCTTATTCAGATCCGTATCCATTACGATAAATTCCCACGGAAAAGATAATGTGCAAAAACCCCTACTGAAAAGGAAAAATAAATTCTAAACCGAAAATTCAATACAAAAACCTGAATTGTTTTAACCATAACCGAACATTTGTTTGTGTATATATTCATTTGTCGGTGCTGCCAATTATATTTTCCACACCTAATTAGGAAACAAAACAAACAGAGTTGATCACAAATTAATCCAGATTTCTATCAGCATCATATCGATGTTGAATTTGCGTAACTTTTCTTTATCCAAATAATGTAAAATAATAAATGAAATCTCGATCGGCGATCACTGAAACGCAGCTAGCAACTGTATACTCGAAAAAGCAATGTTGCCACTTTTTCTCTTTAAACCATGTTCGAATCGTGGAAATTTTGGAAGATCACAGGGTTGCTTTTAGCATTTAGATTCTTAATGCAAAAATGTAGTTGCATTTAGTTGCATTTAGGTGACGAATTTTGTATGGATAAATGTACATTTAGAGTAGCATTTAGAGCTAAATGCGCTAAATGTGCTTTTACGCGTAAGCAAAAACAGCCTATTATTCCGATAATAATCATGTGTTTACATATGCAAAAGAACATGTAAAAGTTCGAGAGTGCAACTATTATCGGTTCATGTCTTTAATAAATCGCGTTGACTTTATCGCCAAGTTTTTGAAACGGCCCCGCAGTTACACCATTTCTATATTCTTTGCACAAACCTACATAGTATGTACCTGAAATGACATTTGAATAATACGAGAGTCATTAAGAAGTCGCGAAAAATTATTATAATTCCGCGCAAAATTGGTGTTTCAAGTTAATTTATACGGGCTCAATTCTATGGATAAGTGAGAAAAAAATACACAATTTTGGTTTTATTTTGTATAATATGTATTTCCAAAAAAA